GCCATGGACGTCGTCTACGCTCTTAAACGCCAAGGACGTACTCTCTACGGATTCGGAGGATAAGAAGCTCTCACTACGAGAACAACCAAACATTTCTAACCCAACGGCCCTCTTTAGGGCCACAATTTTTTGTTGAATACTATGTTGTAAATGAGGACAGCTGTAATAAATGCAATGAATCGAACTTATTCCATATAAGGTATTAAAAAATATGTGTGTGTAGTTTCTGATAATGTACAATATTAGATGCAAAGAAAGGTTAGTAGGTTAACGAACCTGTGAAAATGGGGCACTAGCAGAGAATGGAAACAGTTAGTTTTTGTAGCTTCTATAGTACGGGGAAAACACCGTTTACCAGCTTTTATGGTTATGAAGTGAATACATACGAGGAAAACCTACCTACTTTTACAACGAAAATATTGAGATTCTACTGTCGAAATGGCAAGATTTCCTTGATCATTGACAGCTAATATTGGTGCTTCTGTTCAGCTTATCACGGAGTATTATAAATTGACAAGCGCCTTGGTCCTTGGGAATAATCAAGTTTAGTTGTGATTGCTGCCAGGGTACATATTGCTTGCTTTACAGATTACAGGAGCCAAATATTATCAATCTATGGAGCACTGTTCGTGCCTGTAAACACACATATCTAATATTTTGACAATCATGGTAATAGAAATAACACTTTGATATCTCTTAACCGCATAGAGCTTCTCAGAAATTATTTTTACTTCATTTTATAATGTGTCATCGCGCCATCTGTTTTTGCGTAGGGGTTAGTCGAAGGTCTCAACGATCCAAAAGATTTTATTATGCATTCTCCTCGTTTGCGCAGTGACCTGCAAACATTAGTGACGATCTCACATTGTGCGCCCTGCCACTTAATGAACTTAAGGACCACCTGGAGAGCCACCTACTATCGCACCTGCTGACATCGAAGAGACCGCTTCTGACAAAAAAAAATGAATAATCGGTAATAATTTGATTTTTTTCTAAGGGTTGTAAAGCTTAGATAATAATTCATAAGTTTAATAAGCTCATTAAATAGCTCAACATATCTATTCTTAGCATAACTCTACTGCATATTTACGCAAGCATTAGTCAATTCTCATCAATTTTCTAGGAAAAAAACTGATTTCAAAAAGTCTTGGCTGATATTGAATAACCTGAATAACAGTGCAAATAACGCAATCTAAAATTTATTTTTGAGAAAATTAAAGACGTGCAACTCCCTATACAAATCATCAAATCATTATCAACCTATCAAAATTTATCTTGGCACATACGTTAGAAAAGATACTTCTCTAACATAACAAGTTTGCCGGGAAATCAAAACATTTAGCCTGTTAACACTATTTGAAGGAAACTTTTCAATTCCACCAACAATTGATTTCAAAAATGGTTTTTTATGGTAGTTGTGGCGTTTAATCGACATTACTTTGAACTGACAACGAGTGCTCTCCGTAACAGTTGAGTTTACGAGATCATAAGGTTGGAAAGAATGCGTACCCGAACTGGACCCTCTCTTTTCACTTTCCATAAATCGAAAGTAATAAGTAATAGTAATAAAAACAAAAAATCACTTCACCAATGTTAGCGAGTTCTCAGCAAAATCACCTGCACATCCAAATAACAAAAGATTCCTTTATTTCCTCTTTTATAACTAAGAATCCATGGTTCAAAATCTACTTTTCGAAAACTGGAAAGTTTTAACGTAAAAAAAAGGATTACTACTAGTTTACGTTCTGCCGCTTATGGTTAAAAGTAGCGTGTTTAATTCCGGTTTTTCTTTTGGTCGTACAATAGTGTTTGCTTTTTCACCTCCTTTTAAAACCACGTCTCACTTTCATGTGAGCTGATGTCAGAAACTTGCTCAAAGTGCTCATTAGAGCGATAATCATAAAATATGACCATTGGAAAGAACATAACCTTAGTGGAGTCTTTGTACTGTCGGCACCATAAAGTGTTTAAAACACGGTCATGTGGATTATTTGGCGGTGTCCTTTAATGGTAAGCTTATCCTGTAGACGCAAAAGAGTCAACTGTTTCAGTCTTTATTGCATCAATTAAGTACCGACAGAGATGCGAAGGGCCAGGAGACGGATCAAAGAGTCTGGCGAATGACAATGCTTGAGGCTAATAAACTGATGGCGAAATTACAAGATATGAAATAAATTTGTCATAAGCACGCCTAATTTTCAGAGAAAAGCTCATTCGACTTTCATTTATGGGAAGAGGTTTTAAGCAGATTTCATACAAATTTTAATCGTTAAAATGTGTAGGCGTTATGTTGTGGGTGAAAAAAATAACAGCCTAAAACATAAACCTAACAAATTACTGTATCAATCTTACCACAGTCCGGAACATTAGCCTAATAATTTACCGTATAAATCTTTCTACATAAGAAAATCTAGTGAGGGTTGAAAGCTTTATACCAAATGAAATAACTGTCCTGAAGATAAGTCAAGAAAAGTAGTAGTTTATTTTTATAAGTACCACTGATTTGAAACCGATCCAGTCTTTATCATTTATCGTAGTCGCGCTTCACCTCTAAGACTGATATAAGCTCGCGTTCAATGGTATGGCTTTTACGTCGACAATTCCTGCTGGTGTCATTCGATAAGGAGGCGACGCATTCAACTTTCCGCCAGAATTCAAACACAAGGTTGCCCGGACTGTAGGCATCTGTGTCGGTTCGACTAATGATAAATTAGTAGTGACCCATCACATTGCTGTAAGCCATCTAACAGCACTAAGTAGTCAGACACCACAGTCAGGTGCGCTAGCTCCATAATAAGTTGCTAATGAGAGAAAATGGATGAAGGGACA